CCTCTGGGCTCCCTTCCAGTATGGTGGCCACTGGCCACGGGGGCAGTTTGGGGGAGACAGAATCTCTTGTTTCCAGTGCTCCAGCGGTCCCCAGTGGAGGGGAGGGCAGCTCAGAGGGAACATTCCCCCAGCCTGTGAGGTCCACACTGCCCGATGGCCACCTTTGGAGTGGAGTGTGGAGGGTCAGGGAGCCACCAGGGCTTTGGGCCTGAGCCCTGGGAGATGCTGTTCACCAGGGGGTAGCCTGGAGGGTGAGTGAGGAGTGGAGTGGGGAGGAGCCACGCAGAAGCCTCCCATCCTGGCAGCCTGGTTCTACACTCCCTCTGACTCATAACCTCTGACAGCTTGTGGAGGGTGCCAGGCCGCCAGTAGCACTGTTCAGTACTGTCCTGGACGGAAGTGACCACGCTGCTGCACCCAGACCGCCAGAGACCAGGCAGGGTGGCTGGTCGCTGCGGGCTTCCCGTGGAGCCTGGGAGGCAGTGTCCGGTCCTGCCCCCAGGAGAGCACACCTATGCGTTTGTATGTTCCAGGCATTGAGAACCTTCCCTGTGAGCTTCAGAGGAACTTCCAGCTGATGCGGGAACTGGACCAGAGGACGGAAGGTGTGTCAGGCTGAGGGCGGCTGGAGCGGGCCCCACAGCGGGGGATGAGGCCTGGAGGTGGTGGGTGACAGGGCCTGGAGGGGACTTGGGTCGCAGGACAGGGCTGAGCCCTGCTGTGGACACAGACCGTTTTGGAGCCCGCACTGTACTTTTAAACCAGGTTTTAGTCCCTTGGGCTCTTACACATATCCGTGCCACACCTTGGTAGCCGAGGTGGGTTATAGTCATGTCATCAGTTTCAGTCCTTCAAAGATGTTTCTGTTTTTTGGGCCAGCAGGTGGCATAGTGGTTAAGGTGCAGGACTTCCACATGGTGGACTGCAGTTTGAGTCCTAGACTTTGTGGCTTGAAACTCACCAGACGTGTGTGCATATGTGCCCAAAATCCCAAGAGGAGAATGGAGGAGAAGGGATTGCAACACGGAGGGTGATTTCTCACTTCCCCTCTCACTATCTCTTTTTCTTCTCTAGCCAGCGCATGTGCCATATAGCAGAAACTTTAACAAAAAGAGAAAGAAAGAAAGAAAGAAACATCTTAAGTTGCATATTTAATTCCATTTGTTATTATTATCTTTTTAACTTGACCAGAGAGAGACAGAGAGGAGGGAAGCGAGAGAGTAAACCGTGAGGTTCAGAACTCGAACCACAGTCAGCCATTTGGGAGTCCAGCCACCTGCCAGTCCCAAGATGTTTCTGTTTTCAAATAGCATGTGTAATTTAATAAGTTTGTACTTCCTGACCTCTTTTTTTTTTTTTTTGAATTATTTTATTTAACTTTATTTACTTATTTATTTTAATTTGACCAGACAAGGGCAGAGAGAGAGAGAGAGAGCGCGAGAGAGAGAGCAAGCTGCCAGGTCCTGGACTTAAACCACAGCCATGTGGGAGTCCAGTGCCCTTAATCACTGTGCCAACTGCTGGCCCCTGGAAGAGATATTAATGTCCTCTCTTTGTTGATTTTTAGAGCTATAGGGTGTGCACGCTCACCAAGGAGATCGAAACAGAAATCACCCCTCTCCGGGGGTATGGCCATGCTACAATCCCTTCTCCTCCATTTTCCTTTAGGGATTTTGGGTCTGCACACACATGTGCCCGGCATGAGTTTTAGGCTGCTAGGTTCTGCACTCGACTGTGGTCAACTACATGGGAATCCAGTGATGTAACCATTACACCATCTGCTGCTCCTGATGTCTTGGTGCCTTTATTTAAAAAATTTTTTTTTTTAATTTTGTTAAACAATTATTTAACATTTTTTTCTTTTTTCGAAGAGATTTTTGCTATAGGGCACGTGCGCTCACCAGAAAGACAGAGAGAGACAGAGAGACAGAAAGCAAGAAATCATCCCCCACGCCACAATCCCTTCTCCTCCAGTTTCCTCTCGGAATCTTAGGCATGCACGCACACACACCCGGCTTGAGTTTAAGTCACCAGGTCCAGGACTCGAACTGCGGTCGACTACATGGGAGTCCAGCGACATAGCTATTACCTGAACTGCTGGTCCCTAAATTTATGTATTTTTAATTTGACCAGAGAGGGACAGAGCAAGTGAGGGGTGGGGGGAGTGAGAAAGCAAGCTGCCAGGTCTGTGACTTGAACCGCAGTCAGCCATGTGGGAGTTCAGCACCTGCCAGCCCACAAACCTCCTTAGTACTTAAGTCCTAATTTTCGGACATTTTTTTTTTTTTTTTTTAGAGGTTTTTGTTTTTTACAGGTTTTTGCTATAGGGCACATGCGCTCGCCAGACAGACAGAGAGAGACATAGAGACAGAAAGCGAGAAATCACCCCCTAGGGGGGATGGTCACGCTGCAGTCCCTTCTTCTCCATTCTCCTCTCAGGATCTTGGGCACGCACGCACACGTGCCCGGCGTGAGTTCTAAGCCACCGGGTCCGGGATGCGAACCGCGGTCAACTACGTGGGAATCCAGCGACATAGCCATTATGCTAACTGCTGGTTCCCCAGACATGTTTTTGTTGATTTTTCTCTTAAAATGTTTCTCGTGAGAGAGCATAGCCGCACACAGGAAGGGACCTGAGGTCAGTGAGCCAGAGGAGCAGACACCCCGCCAGGTCCTGTCACGTCTTCACCTCTTCCCACCAGCTGGTCACTGGTGGCTGACGTGTTTCAAGCTGACCTGGGTCGTGAGTCCTGGTTGACCGTGTGGTTCCTGGTACCACTGCTCAGGCCTCTTCTTTCCCCAAAGTTTATCTCACGAGATGTGCACACACAGACACCCAGGTGTGTGAACATGCGCACACACGGCCCTCTGCCTGCCCTTTAAAGCCAGTACGTCCATGCATTCAGGTCGATTTGGGACCTGAACCCCAGGCCTTCCCACATGGTGGTGGCATTGTGCAGGGGTGCCTGCAGCTTACACACCACAGCTGGGTGTGTTGCTCATTGTATTGTTTTTACTCAAAGTCAGAGGGTGTGTGTGCTTGCCAGGGAGAGAGGGCACCCCCACCGGGGCATGGCCGTGGTGCAGTCCCTTTCCTCATTGCTTCATCTCATTCGGGTTATGGCATGCACATAGACTTGCCCTGCAGCTTTCAGGCTGTGGGGCTGGGATTTGAACCTCGGTCTGTGATGTAGGGTCTGACTCCGTATGCACAGGGCTCACCCACCACGCTGTGGGGCCAGCCCACTCTTTCTGGTTTCACACCGGAAATGAAGATGCACTTTGCTGCCACACCAGCTTTTACACACTTCCCTCCCCTGTCTTGGGGGTGTAGCCTGTGGGAATCTGGTGAGGCCAGCGTTGTTTGCCCTGGGGCAGCTGCTCAGGGAGCTTGAAGCTGCGCCATGCTGCATACAGTGCTTACGTGACTGGAGTTCCTTAGTGCTTGCACCTGCACTGGCCCCTGCTTCAACAAGCTGTTTGGAACAGCCTGGCGTGAGCCGTCTTACCACTCCCTGGTGCCCTCCATGGAGCCTGTATCCTAGCTGGGTCCATGCTGCAGATGGTTGTTGCCCTGGGGTCTCCCGTCAGCCCTCTTCAGGGTCATGCTCTACTCCCTGAACTTTAAATGTTCTATTTTTTTCATTTGCTCCCTTGTTTTGGGGAGTCCTCTTTTCTAGTAACTTCCTAAGAGCAGGCACATAGATATTTCTTGTGACATTGTATGTCCAAAAACGTGCTTGCTCTAGGGGCCTCTGTGGTTGAAATTGGCTGGGTATAGAACTCCAGGTCAGGCATTGGCTCCCAGAGTGGTGAAGGCTTGCTCTGTGGTCTCCTGGCTTCTGTGTTGCTGTCAAGAAATTTGGTGCCATTTGGATTTCTGATCTTGTACAAATATGGGACTTATAAGAAATTCATGGAAAATTTGTATTATGGAAGAGTTATGCTGCATGAATCTTAAAGATTTTTGCCTAAAAATAAACTTGTGTTTTAGCTTCATTTTCTCATGAACTTTCTGCAGTTCCTTGTATGTGATCTGTTTCCTTTTCCCGTGTACATGTTGGTTTAGACAGGCTCTCGCTGGGTTGCAGTCCTGCCTCAGCCTCTGAGTATCCAGCCCACAAGCGTGTACTGCCGTGCCAGTTCCTGCAGATGGGATCTTACTGTGCTGCCCACTCTGGTTGAAAGCTCGCCATGCAACCCTTTCCTGTTCAAATGTTGTTGTTTTTTAAAAATATTTATTTATTTCCATTTTTTATTATTATTTTGTAATTTGACCCTAAAGAGACAGAGAGAGAGAGAGTGAAAGGGAGAAAGCAAGCTGCCAGGTCTAGGACTCTAACCACAGTCAGCCATGTGGGAATCCAACGCCTTCAACCACCCTGCCACCTGCTGGCCTCCAGAATCTTTTTTTTTTTTTTTTTTTTGGAGAGGTTTTCGCTATAGGGCGCTTGCGCTCGCCAGACAGCCAGACAGAAACAGAGAGAAAGCGAGAAATCCCCCCCCAGGGGGGATGGCCACGCTGCAATCCCTTCTCCTCCATTCTCCTCTTGGGATCTTGGGCACGCACGCACACGCGCCCAGCGTGAGTTTAAGCCACTGGGTCTGGGACTCGAACCGCGGTCGACTGTGGGAGTCCAGCGACATAGCCATTACGCTAACTGCTGGTCCCCCCCAAAATTTTTTTTAAAGTTTATTTTCTTCATGAGCGAGGCAAAGACTGGTACCCTTGATGAGGTTTCATGCCACAGGCCATGAGCCCTGCTCCCTTGTGGCAGGGGAGGATCCCACTGTCACGCTGGGCGCGTGTTTGGCAAGGCTGAAGTGGTTGCAATTTCCGCTTAGAGCAGCTTGACTTGGAGCGAGTGTGGCTTGATGGGACGTGGGCACAGGCACAGGCGTCTGCTTTCGAGGTTGCTCAGCAAATACGAGAGGCTGTCCTGTCCGCTCCCATCAGACGTGAAGGGGACAGCTCGTGTGGCCCAGGGCCCTGCCCCTGCCCGCTGGCCCGTGCTGCGTGTGGTGCCCGCCCTCCCCTTGGCAGCAGTCCGCTCAGCGTCCGGGCTGGGTCTCTGCCCTCCTCACTCAGTGTCCCCTGTGGGCTAACCTGTTGTCACGTGTCGCTGTCAGTGTTGGTGTCGTGTAGTGGCTGCCTCGTTCATCGTGTGACGGGAGGCTGCGCGTTTGGTGGTATCCAGTTCTCTGTGGTTCACGCGCTCTCAAGTACCGGCTGCCCATGGACTCGGGGTTACTTGGGGGAGTGAGAGTGGCCAGTCCCAGTTGCCATGGCCACATGGAGGACAGGGTGCCCGAGGGTCATTGGAGCCCTGTGACTCACACAGACAGGTGCCCTCCCAAGGGGTGTCCTGGTCTCATTGCCCTCTGGACGCTGCCCAGAGGTCACGGAGTGGTTAGGCTTGAGTTTGGTCTGCCCACGTTCTTGCCGCAACTGGTGCTGTTTGACTTGAATTAGTTTATTATTATTTTTTAAAGAATTGTTCATTTAATTTTATATATTCATTCATTTATTTTAATTTGACCAGAGAGAGACAGAGAGAGAGAAAGAGAAAGTGAGAAAGCAAGCCACCAGGTCTGGGACTCGGGCCATGGTCAGCCATATGAGAGTGTTCAGCAGCTTAACCACCACGCCACCTGCTGGTCCTGAATTAATTAATTCTTAAAGTGGGGCCAGAAAGTGACGTGATGGTTAGGGTTCTGGCCTCCCGCAGGGCTGATCGTGGTCTGAGCCCTGGCCCTCCTTGCTGCCTCCTCAGTTTCCCTGCCTCTCTCTGGTGAGTTAAAGTAGTCATAATGACAGTAAATTAAGTTGAATAATTCTTTATAAAAATGAACTCTTGGGAACAGCAGTTGGCGTGGCCATCGCTGCACTCCCATGTAGTTGACCCTGGTTCCAGTCCTGGATCTGGTGGCTGAAACTCACGCCGGGCGCGTGTGCGTGTCCAAGACCTGGAGAGGAGAATGGAGGAGAAGGGATTGTGGCGTGGCCATCCCCCCTGGGGAGTGATTTTTCTTGCTTTCTGTCTCTCTGTCTCTGTCTTTCTGGCGAGCGCACCCCAATACAAAAAACCCCTCAAAAAAAAAAAAAAAAAAAAAGTGAACTTTTGGAACTCTTGAACTCTCTTTTCTCAGAGAGGGAGAGATTGACGGGCCAGCACCTGGACAGGGTCCCTCATGCTGTGGGACCCTCCAGTCACCAGCCAGGGGCGGGGTGCGTGTGCATGCCGCCTGCTTCCGGTCAGCTGGGATCCAAGTCCCAGTCTGCAGAGAGCCTCACCACCTGCACCTCCGCGGCCAGGCCTGCGGCCTCAGTGCCTGTGTGGCGGGCGAGTGGCGGCTCTTGTGCGGCCCCAGCTTCCGCCCTTCCCTGTCAGATAAGAAAGCCGAGATCGACGTCCTGGCTGCGGAGTACATCTCCACGGTGAAGGCACTGTCAGCCGAGCAGCGCGTGGAGCACCTGCAGAAGATCCAGAGTGCCTACAGCAAATGCCGGGAGTACAGCGACGACAAGGTGCAGCTGGCCATGCAGACCTATGAGATGGTGAGCCCTCCGCCAGGCCTGCCCCGCCCATGGCTCCTTGCTCTGTCTGGAGGAGCGTTGCTCTTGCAGTATCGCCTCCATGTGACTCTTCTGCCAGCTTCTAGTAAAGCCCTCACGCTGGGTCTGCCCAGGCCGCACTCCCCGCTCCCCGTTGCTGGTCTGCCCAGACCCTTCTCCCTGCTCCCTGTTGCTGGTCTGCCCAGGCCCCTCTCCCCGCTCCCCGTTGCTGGTCTGCCCAGGCCCCTCTCCCCGCTCTCCGTTGCTGGTTTGCCCAGGCCCCACTCCCTGCTCCCCTTGGCTCCTATCAGGCTCGGAGCTCTTGAGGGAGCTTGGGAGATAGTGTCACTCGGGAGATATAGAACTTACACGTGGGCAGCTGCTCGTCCATGTTGGAGCACATGTGCTCATAGGAGAGGGTGCACCCTCCCCAGGCTGGCCACACGTGGCCCCAGCCTCCAGTCCTCCAGGACGTGCGTGTGCTCATTGTGGGGGCCGACTGGGCGTGGGGTCTGGCTGCAGTCGTCCCATGGCCTGTTCCTGAGCAGTGCATTGCTTCTGCCATGGAGCTGCCCTGCGAGTGGGATTTGCATGACCCCACTCTCATTCTTGCTGTGAGCAGACTGATTTCTTTTGAAAAAAAATTTTTAGGATGATTCCATTTCATTTATTCATTCATTTATTTTAATTTGACCAGGAGAGAAAGAGAGAGAGAGAGGGAAAGTGAGAAAGCAGATTGTGAGGTCCAGGACTCGAGCCATGGTTGACCATGTGGGAGTGTCCAGGGCCTTAACCACCATGCCACCTGCTGGTCCCAAGCAGACTTTTCTATAAAGCTTGGTTTGGGGCCAGCTGGCAGCCTTGGAGTTTAAGGCACTGAGTCCCCCATGGGTGGCCCCTGGAGTCCTGGACTCCAGGTGTGTGTGTGTGTGTGTGTGTGCTCACCCAAATGCCCTAGAGGAGACTAGAGAAGGAGGGTCTCGCACGGTGGTGGTGGCCGCAGTGGCTCCATTCCCGGTGCTTTGTTGTCACCCAGATGGCCTGCCCACGTGCCGGTGGCTCCCTGTAGGTTACAGCATTTCGGCTTTCAAGTTAGGCTTCAGCATCACAGCCCCGAGTCCTTCATATTACCCAAGTGTTCCTCATTGCCCACACTCGTGGTCTTTCCCCCCCAAATAGTTTTTTTCCTGTGAGGTGTCTCTCAAATGAGTGAGGGTGAAGGCCTCACATGCTGCGGGGTCCTGAAACCTTGGGCCTGCTGCGGCAGGGCGTGTGCTAGTGAGATGCAGCGGGCAAGAGAGGGCTGGGGGCACCAGCAGCCCCGGGATGGCCGTCTGCTCTTCGGTAAGGCCAGGCCTCCCTTGTAGGTGGACAAACACATCCGCAGGCTGGACGCTGACCTGGCCCGCTTCGAAGCGGATTTGAAGGACAAGGCAGAGGGCAGTGACTTCGAAAGCTCTGGAGCGCGCGCACTGAAAAGCAAGTCTGTCATCTGTCCTCATTCGTTGCCCACCGCGCGACGTTTGCGAGCTTTGTCAGATAATGTGGACCTCGGCACAGATGCGCACTGGTGGCTGGGTAAATCGGGTCTTTACTGGGCTCCACGAAAGTAATTTGAGTCTTTCTTTTTCAGAAGGTCGGGGTCAGAAAGAGAAAAGGGGCTCCCGGGGCCGGGGCAGGAGGGCATCCGAAGAAGACACCCCAAAGAAAAAGAAGCACAAAGCAGGGTGAGAGCTGCGTCCTTCCTGGGGAGCGCCCTGGGCGTCTGTCAGGGTGAGCTAGGGCAGCTGTGAGAGCAGAGGCTGCGTGCCAGGTGGACTCTGGGTCCCGGTGCTGGCCTGCGTGCCAGATGTGGAGCTCTGGGTCCCGGTGCCGGCCCACGTGCCAGATGTGGAGCTCTGGGTCCTGGTGCCGGCCCGCGTGCCGGGTGGACTCTGGGTCCCGGTGCCTTCAGGTGTAGGTTGGGACACTCTCAGACAGCCTGAGGGCACCGCTGTCACGGTGACTCATGGTGTCACACTGCGACCTGCCAGGCTTAAGACTGAGCAAGGAGAGTTGGGGGTGAACCCAGCAGGCTGGTGCCAGGACCCTCTGGCTTGGCTGTGTGTGGGTGTGGAGTTTCTCAACGGGCCCAGCCGGAGCCACTCTGCAGAGCGGTGTGTGCTGTGTCTGCTGGCCATCGTGCGCAGCACACGTATTTGTGTGTGTTCGTGGTTAAGCCATGTGCCTGCGTCTGTTGGGTGCATGTCACTGAACTCGAATGTCTTCAGGACACTTACTGGGTGCCCTCTCCCCGCCACCTACTTTACGGAAGTGCCATCCAGACTCAAGGCAGGATACGGAAGGACCTGGTGCCTCCATGGAGGTGACGCGGTTATGGGAGAGGGCAGAAGAGCTTGGGGACCCAAGGGGAAAAACTTCCTTGTTTCAAAACCTGGTGTTTAAACTTACTTTTTTTTTTTTTTTTGCCATAGGTTGCATGTACTCACCAGAAACAGAGAGAGAGAGGGGAAAAGTGAGAAATCACCTCCTGGGGGATGGCCACGCTGCAGCTCTCCTCCATTCTCCTCTCGGGGCTTTGGGCACTCATGCACACGCACCCAGTGTGATTTCGAAGTTTCTGGGTCTGGAACTTGAACTGCTGGCACCACCTGGGAGTCCAGCACCTTAACCACCAGCGTTGTTCTTTCTTTTTTATTTTTTAAAGAGTTAGTTACTTGCTTGGGAACCAGCAGTTAGCGTAATGGCTATGTCGCTGGACTCCCAGTCGACCGTGGTTCGTGTCCCGGACCCGGTGACTTGAAACTCACGCTGGGCGCGTGTGCATGCGTGCCCAAGATCCTGAGAGGAGAACAGAGGAGAAGGGATTGCGGCGTGACCATCCCCCCTGGGGGGTGATTTCTCGCTTTCTGTCTCTATGTCTCTCTCTGTCTGTCTGGCGAGCACACGTGCCTTACAGTGAAAACCTCTCCCCCCCCCAAAAAAAAAGAGTTAGTTACTTGCTTTTATTTGTCATTATTATTGTTGTTATTATTTTAAAGAATTATTTATTTAATTTTATTAATTGTCATTATTTTATTTTATTTTTTTGAAATTGCCCAGAGAGAGACAGAGAGAAGGAAAGCAAGAAAGCAAGCTACCAGGTCTGGAACTCAAACTGTGGTCAGCCATGTGGGAGTCAGCCACCTCGCCACCTGCTGGTCCCTTATTTATCATTATTATTATTTTTTATTATTTTCATTTTTATTTTTATTATAAAGCACATGCATTCACCAGAAGGAGAAAGAGAGAAAGTTGCTGGGTTTAGAACTGGAACTGTGGTCGGCCATGTGAGAGTCCAGTGCCTTAACCACCGTGCCACCTGCCAGCCCCAGCTGCACTGGCTCTTACTACTCTCTTTTCTGCTCTATTTCTGCCCTCTACTCGGGTTCATTTTGGCTTGTTTTTCTAGCTTTTTAAGGCAAAAATAGCTTGAATTACTGATTTTGATACCTTACTCCTACTAATAGCTTTTCACTGCATTCCACAAACTTTGGTATGTTGTGTGAGTTTTTTTAAACTTAATGTATTTATTTATTTATTTATTTTCTTTATGACACGTGCACATGCTGTGTCCTACCTGGTGTCAGGCAGCCCAGATCAGGCTGTATGTGCCCTGCCTTGCTGTGGAGGTCCTGGGATGTGAATTCAGGGCCTTTCCCAGTTGTGTTATTGTTGTAGCAATACTACCACCTGACCTATGTTTTTGCTTTTTTAAGGGTACTTAAAAAATTTTTTTTAATTTAAATTTTTTTTTTTTGGAGAGGTTTTTGCTATAGGGCGCATGTGCTCGCCAGACAGAGAGAGACAGAGAGACAGAAAGCGAGAAATCACCCCCCAGGGGGGATGGCCACGCCACAATCCCTTCTCCTTCATTCTCCTCTCGGGATCTTGGGCACACACGCACATGCGCCCAGCGTGAGTTTTAAGTCACCAGGTCCAGAACGTGAATTGCAGTTGACTACGTGGGAATCCAGCGACAGCCATTACGCTGACTGCTGGTCCCTTTAATTTAAAATATTAAAAAAATTCCTTTGCAAGTTTTCTTTGACCTATAACTTCTGTAGAGGTATGTTTCTCAATTTGTGAATAATTTGGAATTTTCCACATAAGTTTGTGATTGCAGTTTTTGGTTTACTTCTGTTGTGGTCAGAGAACTTTCTGCAGTCAAAATTATTAGGGCCAGCAGATGGTATAGCAGTTATGTCTCTGGACTCCCATGGGGCCGACCGCGGTTTGAGTCCTGGGCCCGGGGAGTTGAAAATCATGCTGGGCATGTGTATGCACCTGCCCAGGATCCCAGGAAGAGAATGGAAGACAAGGGATTGTGGTGTGGCCATCCCTCTAGGGACTGAGTCTTACTTTTCCTTTCTCTATCTCTCTCTCTTTACCCCTGGCTAGTGCGTGTGCCCTGAGACAAAAACGTCTAAAAAATAAGAGGAAAAGAAATTATCTGAAGTCTGAAAAGCTTGGGTTGTGGTCCCGCTTATCTACCTTGCCCAGCGTCGTATGCTCTTGGGAAGCCTTGAGTCATTCCATAGCTGGACTGCCCTGTCGCCTTTTGCACATCCCTAAACACTGTGTCGGTGCCTTGGTTGATGGTGTCCTGTAGGTGCCTGTCCCCTCGCTGATGTCCTGTTCACCCATTCTGTCAGCTCCTGAGAGGAGTGTCGGAAACTTTAGCTCTGGTTACACGTTGGTCTATTTCTCCTTTTAGTTCTACCAGTTTTTCAGATTTTGCTTAATATATTTTAAAGTAGTTATTTGGTATATATTCACTTGGGAGCTTTGTGGTTTGGGACTTTTATTTACTCTATCATTATGAAATGTCTCTTTTTGTTCCTGGGAATACTCTTTATTTTGAAGTCTACTTTGGTGTGAATTTTTTGAAGACTCTTCATCATTGTAACTACTGTAGCCATCTTCTGATGAGTTTTTGTATGATTTATATATATATTTTCATCAGTTTTACAGAATTATTTAATTTTACTTATTGTTATTGTCATCATTATCTGAATTTGGTATACAGCATGTGCACTCATCAGAGAGACAGGGAGACAGAGAAAGTGAGAAAGCAAGCCACCAGGTGTGAGACTCGAACCATAGTCGGCTATGTGGGAGTCCAGTGCCTTAGCCACCATGCCACCTACTGGCCCCATGTTTCAACATGTTTGTGTGTTTCTATGTAGAACAGATTGCTTGTAGGAAGGAAATCTTTGAAAACATTTCTTTTTTTTTTTTTGGAGAGGTTTTTGCTATAGGGCGCATGCGCTTGCCAGAGAGACAGAGAGACAGAAAGCAAGAAATCACCCCCATGGGGGATGGCCACACCATAATCCCTACCTCTCCATTCTTCTCTCGGGATCTTGGGCACACACGCACACATTCCCGGCTTGAGTTTAAGCCACCAGGTCCTGGACTCGAACTGCGGTTGACTATGTGGGAGTCCAGCGACATAGCCATTAAACTAGCTGCTGATCCCAAGAATGTTTTTCATTTCAGAGATTGCCCTGACAATCTCTGCCTTTTCATCGCAGTATTTAGGCTATTTACATTTAATGTAATTGATGACAGATTGAATTTAAATGTGCTAGATTTTTAATTTTTTTAATTGATAGAAGGCACATATGCTTTCCAGCGAGCGAGCGAGAGAGAGAGTGTACACTACCATGTTCAAGACTCAGACTGTGGTCAGCCATGTGGGAGTCCAGCGCCTCAACACCGTGCCACCTGCTGGCCCCATGTAGGTGGGATCTAAAAGCATTGAATTTGGGACCAGCTGGTGGCTTGGTGGTTAGGGTGGCTGGATTCCACATGGCCAACTATGTGGTTTGAATCCTGGACTTGGTCATTTGAAAAACATGCCAAGCTTGTGTGCATGTGTGCCCAAAATCCCAAAAGGAGGGATAAATGGAGGAGAAGGGATTATGGTATGGTACCCTCCAGGGGTGCTCTCTCACTCTCTCTCTGTCTGCTGTGTGCACACGAGCCCTCTAGCGCAGTAAGACACACCGGTGGTGCTCTCTCACTCCTTCTCTGTCTGAACCTTCTAGCCCAGGAGGAGATGCTGGACCCCAGGGAGCAGAGAGTAGCATGGCGGTTACGAGTGTCAGCTCAGCGAAGATATCTGGCCCACGCTAGTGAAGCAGTGAGAGCTTTCGTGATTGAGCTCAGGGGGCCACTGGAGCCTGTGCCAGCGGCCGGTGCCAACAATCACAGTGTCCGCTGTTGCCTTTGGGGAGGGGTCTCTTAACCAGTAGACTCGGGGTCAACTTGTATCTTGTTTTTTTATGTCAATTTTAAGCAGCGAGAGCCACAGAACTAACTTAGCAACAGTAAAGTAAGCCCGGCTAGACCCACTGCCTGTGTGGGGCCATGCCAACTCCGTTCCTGGTGGTCCTCGCTCTTGCACGTGGGTGTGGAATCCTGTATTGACTCCGTCCTGGTGATCCTCGCTCCTGCATGTGGGTGTGGAGTCCCGTGCCGACTCCGTTCCTGGTGGTATGTGGGTGTGGAGTCCTGTACTGACTCCATTCCTGGTGGTCCTTGCTCCTGCATGTGGGTGTGGATTTCTACATGGGGCATTTCTTTGCCCAAATAATTTCTTTTAACTTTTTTTTTTTATAGAACAGGTCTGTTGATGGTAATGAATTCCCTCAATTTTTGTTTCTGTAAAGATGTCTGTTTTTCACTTATAGTTTTTTATTTTTAAAATGTTACTACAGGACACAGGTGCCCACTGGAGAGAAAGGGAGGGAGGGAGGGAGGGGGAGAGAGAGGGAAAGCGCCCTGTCACTCCTGGAGAGAGGCATGCCATGGATTTTTGGCATGCACACACACGTTTTCAGTGTGTGTGTATGTGTGTATGTGTGTGTGTGTGTGTGTCTTTTTTTCTTTAGAGAGGGTTTTGCTATAGGGTGTGTGTGCTCACCGGAGAGACAGAGACAGACAGAGACAGAAAGTGAGAAATCACCCCCGTAGAGGGGATGGCCACGCCATAATCCCTTCTCCTCCATTTTCTTCTCAGGATTTTGGACACACACACATATGCGCCCAGTGTGAGTTTTAAGTGTCTGAGACTTGAACCGTGTTCAACCATGTGGGAGTCCAGTGATATAACCATTATACCATCTGTCGATTTCTCCAGTGTTTCTTTTTCTCTTATTTTTCTTTTTAAAGAATTATTTAACTTTATTTATTTATTTATTTTAGTTTGACCAATGAGGGACAGAGCAAGAGAGAGACAGATTGAGAAAGCAAGCTCCCAGATTGGGGACTCGAACCACAGTCAGCCATGTGAGAGTCCAGTGCCCTTAACCACCATGCTACCTGCCAGCCCCTCCAGTGTGTTTCTTAAGCTGCCACATCTGGGACTCTGACCATGCAGTTGGCCACCTGGGACCACCTGCATTAACCAGCAGGCCACTGGCTAGCTCTATAGGCTCACTTTTAATGTTTGTAAAAAGCCTTTCCTTGGTTCTTTAGGTGGCATGGAGGTTAAGGTGGCTAGATCTCACTTGAATAGCTTAGTGGTTTGAGTCTCAGGCCCTGCAGCTTGAAAATTGTATTCAGTGTCTGTACCCAAAAATCCCAAGAGGAGATTGGAGGAGAAGGGATTGCGGCATGGCCATCCCCCATGGGGGGGATTTCTCGCTTTCTGTCTCTCTGTCTCTCTTTTTAGTGAGTGCACAGGCCCTATAGCAAAAACCTCTCACAAAAAAAAAAGTAGTAAAATGTTTCTACTTAAAGGGCCAGATGCAGGCCGTTCTTTCTCTTGCCCGGCCCCTGCTCCCGCACCACCACCATCCCAGGTCAGCTGGAGGCCGTGGGGGCGGTAGCAGACCCTTCTGGGATGTGGACGCCTCAGGGACTTGCACTCCTCCCGTCGTCGCCGTGTGCCTGTCGTCACCGTGTGGTGGCTGTGCTGGCCCAGAGTGGCCCTGCAGGAAGTCTAGCCCTCACTAGGCCCTAGAGGCAGGGCTGCTCCCTGTGGCCAGCTGCCCCTGTTGCCCTCACCCCGACGTCTCAGATGGGCTCTGCTCTGTGTGTCAGCAGTGGTGTCCTAGGTCTGCCCTGCCCTGCCCAGATGCGGGAGGCTGCCTCTGCATCTCTTGGCTGGAGTGCGGCCCAGCCATCACCTTCCCCAAGGACTGTGGCTGCAGATGTCCTTGGCCTGGGGGTCCTGCTGTGGGTCAGAGCTGAGCCTGGGGCCTGTCTCTGCAGCGGTCAGAGCCTCTTTCTGAGGGTTGTGCTGTGGTCAGGCCGGACCACATGTGCCCTGACGTCTGGCCCTCCAGATGTGGGATGGACCTGCAGGACAGCTCCTGCTACCCGAACGGGACTGGCCCCACCCTCAGGCTGTGCACTGGGCTGTCACAGGTGTTAGATGAGGACATGGGCGACTGGTGATGGCTGCAGGGCTTTGGCCTGAGGTCCCGCGCATCAGCCCGGGGCCCTGCAGATGGTCTTGTCACTGTCCCAGAGACCCAGTCTCAGCTGAAGTGTGCACCAGGGCTACTCTGACCTCTGCCATGTGGCAGGTGGTCAGACGGTCAGCAGCCACATGGGCGCCTGGCTTCTGGGGCGGGCTGCAGCTGCAGGCCTCATGCATCCTTTTTCCTTCTGTGGGGTGTCCTGGCTGCGCTTGGTAGTGGCATGAGTTCAGGGTGGCTCAGGGGGCCCTCAGTCTGTTCTGGTGGCTCGAGCATCCCTGTGAGCCCAGGCCCCACACTGCTCATGGCGTGCAGGAGGAGTGTGATGGCCGCAGGCCCGTCTTCTGAGGCCCTTGGCTCCCAGAGCTGGGCCTGCCAGCGGCTGGTGCTGGGAAGTACGTGGGCCCGACGTGGAGACCTGGTACTGTCTGCCAAGGGCATTGGCATGGGGTGTCTCTTGTGGCTGTCAGGCCGGAAGGTTGGCCACACCAGTGAGCTCCACCAGCAGGCACTGTCCCACTGCCAGGGAGCACTCCTTGGGAGTGGAGTGGCAGTGCCTACAGCCCACATGCGCTGGTGTTTCCGCAGGAGGCTGGGAGGCAGCAGGTCAGCCCGACTGCCCGGCCTCTGGGACTGTCCTCACTACTGGTCCCCAGGGGTCATGTAGCAGCCTTGTAGGGCAGGACAGCAGGACACACACGGGCCGCGAGGCAGAGTTGTGGGGCTGTCGTGTGTGCCTGGCAAGTCTGTGTTTGGTTTTGGTCTGACGGTGGGGTGGGTCGGGGCGTGTTTCTCTGTGCTGACGGCATGTGCCGCCCAGGTGCTCTGTCATGCATGAGTTTATCTGAGAAATCCTACAGCCCCCATAGTGCACCTATGCCAGCAGTGACAGTCACTGGGCCCCGTGTTTCAACGCTGTGGATGTGACTTGGGTAGGGCTATTGTCATGGGCTGCTGCAGGGACAAGGACAGCGGGTTTGGGGAGAGTGGCCCCAGCCGCCAGGTGGCCGAGAAGCATGGTGAGCCTGGGGAGGGTGAAGGGAGCTGCAGTGCTTCGCAGGTGTGGGGCAGAAGTGCCCGTGCAGACATAGGGCAGTCTGGGCACTGGAGGAGGGTGTGGCCAGAGGCCAGCAGGCTGTGATTCCTGGGTCAGGCTGGGTGGGAGGCAGGAGGCAAGGAGGGTTGTTGGCCTGGAGGACAGGCAGACACAGAGGCTGGACTGTCCTGTCCGGGTAGAGACCAGAAGGCACATCTAGGACGGGCCAGTGCCTGGTACTATGCCGTGCGCACTCGGGTCTCCGGGCACCCTGCTCTCTGCACCAAGTCCTTGTCTGGCACCCGTGGCATCGTCCCCACCTGTCCAAGCTCACCACCATGGGTTGTTGGTGTGTGGCTGGTGGTATTTGAGTGAAGTCTTTATGTGACTTAAATGTGCCTCTCCTTGATGGTGGTGTGTGTGCACGTGTGCAGGGGCACGCTCTGAGGTCTGGTTGCACCGGGACCCTGTCCTCTAGTCTGTAGCCTGTCGGGTCCCAGGTGCTGGCTCGTTTACCCGGCATGTTCTGGCCAGTGGGCTGGGCTCACCGAGTGGTTGTGGTCATGTTACCGCCTTGCCTAGGCCCACAAAGACCTGCCTGGGTGCGATGTGCTCACAGGCACGTGCTACCTGTGGACTCTAAGGAGCCGTTCCTGGTCAGAGGGACACTTGGGGTGTCTCAACTGAAGCTGTTTGAATCAGGAAGAGAACGCCCAGGAGCATGGCAGGCCCTTGACCCGCCCCACTTGGGCCCCAGCCCCACCCTCCCCCCAGGGCTCAGGGCCTGGTGCACCCTGCTGTGTGCCTCCGCGACGCCGTGTCCCCACAGGTCCGAGCTCGCCGACGCCATCCTGTCCGTGCACCCGTCCGACGTGCTGGACATGCCCGTGGACCCCAACGAGCCCACCTACTGCCTGTGCCACCAAGTGTCTTACGGCGAGATGATCGGCTGTGACAACCCGGACGTGAGTGCCCGGCCCGACCCGGCCCGGCTGCTCAGGCGCATCTGCAGGGCCACGTGACTGGGGCCCTGCGCGGCAGGTGGGGGCGCTGGTTTCCCCGATCACTGACCGGAGTGCCTCCCTTGCAGTGCCCCATCGAGTGGTTTCACTTTGCCTGTGTGGACCTCACCACCAAGCCCAAAGGGAAATGGTCAGTATGACTCTGTGCTCTCCTGCCTGTCGGTGTGGCTGCCGGCTACCAGGGAGGCTCTGGGAGCTGGGGACGTGGCTGGCGGGAGGGCAGCCTCTAAGCATGTCTGGATGGTGGCTGGGTGGTGTGTCCTCCCACTGTGGTGCCCATCCTGCTTCCCGGGCTGAGTGGGCAGAGGGTCACCTGCCGCCCGCCGGCCCTAGGAACAGTTACCAGACTCATACGTTGTGGTGCATGGAGCCACAGTGTGTCTGGAGACAGCCCTCACACACCTGTGAGGGATGTGGCCGTCACCTCGACGGAAGTGAGAAATGCCAGAGTCAGGCCCTGGTTCGTGGGAGCCAGCTGCTCCTGGGCCCTTGGGCAGGGCACCTTTCCCGTCATCCCTGTGGCTTTGCCGAAGCACAAGCCTGGCTTCGTGCCTGGCCTCACGTGGACACAGGCTGGTAAGTGGAGGTCAGAAGTTGTGTCCGGCTGCCCTCCCTGTGCAGCACCAAGGGTGTCATGGTGAGGTCCCTGCTGTCTACACAGATAGGAACTGGGACACAGGTCCTGAGTGCTGGGGTGTGGGGTGGGGCTTCCTCGAGGCCTCTCTGTGGCTCGCAGTGTGCAGGCTTTGCCCCTGGTTGGTCAGGTTGGGACAGGTTGTCACACTGCAGCGTAGTTAGGGCCTGGAGCCAGCCAGCAGGTGAGCTGAGGCGACCTCCCCGCAGCCTGGACCACGCTCCGAGTGGCTGCCACCATCTGGGAGAGCCTGCAGCAGGCCTAGGCCAAGACTGCTGCCCTCGCACGGCCTCGTACCAAGGAGTGAGGGGCCCTGCAGGTCCCAGGATGGGCTGGCCAGGGGACAGAGCGTGCCCACGCCCAGGGCCTCAGCACCCACGGGCCGCAGACACTCTGCCAGCACAGGTGTGGTGGGCCCCTTGCTCAGTGACTGCCGTCAGGGCGGGAAGGGCTCGCCATGCCAAGCAAGCAGTTATCTGCCTCAGCTGCCGGCTCCACGGGCGTACGTTCTGTCCCATGTCCTCCGATCCCATGTCCTCCTGTCCTGCATCCTATCTTGTGTCCTCCTGTCCCGTGCCCTCCTGCCCCATGTCCTGTCCCGTATCCTCCTGTGCCGTGTCCTCCTGTCTCCTGTCCCGTGTCCTCCTGTCCCTGTCCTGTCTGTGTCCCGTGTGTTCTCCCAGGGTGGGGAGCGAGGAGTGGGTCTGGCACAGGCTGGTGGGCAGGACGCTGAGCGCTGCCCTTCTCGCAGGTTCTGCCCGCGGTGTGTGCAGGAGAAGAGGAAGAGGAAGTGAGCAGGGCCGAGGCCGGCCTGGAGGGCGAGTTGGCGTGTTCTTGATCGTGTTGCAATATTTCCCTTCGTGTTAGAACTACCTTGTTTGGATTGATACCTAATAACTCAGTGGCCAGTTTCGATCCCGGGGTTCCCTGAACTGAGCAGGGAACTGGCATCGGCCCCATTTGTGTGAGGAGTGGCCCTGTGGTGACCTCGCTACTGACTCTACACCCCTGTCCCAAGTGCGAGGTCACTGTGGGGTCTGGACAGACTTCTGTGAAGTTGGCGCAGGGGAGACGTCCAGCCTGGTACTCGGCCACCGCGTGCCTGTGTGGCATGTCTGCGGCTCCTAGGGCTGTCCGCATAGCCTGTCCACCACCGTGAGCCCCCGCCACGCCGGCCCTGAGCCAGGACACTGCCATGTGCTGGGAAGGGCCGGCCCTGACCGGGAGGTGGTGGCTGTGCCTCTCCGTGCTTTGCTGCCTGGGTGGACTCTGTCCCCCCTCCAGGATGGACCTGGAGCAGACAGTGCGACCCTGGAAGACCACGGCCAGCAGCGACGAGGCCGGCGTGCCAGCCGCTGGTGTCTGCCCCTCCGGGGATCCTGATACTTTACTGTGAAGAGGAGGCCGGCCCCATAGCAGGAGGGCTGTGGGGCTGTGGCTGCTGTGGGTCCCGCCTGGGAGCTGCTCAGTCTCGTTTGCAGTGGGGGCAGAGGTGGGCCAGCTGCGGTCATGGGATACAGTGTGTGAGTTGAGTGTGCATATGTGAGTGCGTGTGCATGTGTGTGTGCATGTGAGTGTGAGTGCATGTGCGAGTGTGGGAGTGAGCGTGTGTATGAGTGTGTGTGTGGGTATGAGTGAGTGTATGAGTGTGAGTTTGAGCTTGTGAGTGAACATGAGTGTGAGCATGTATGAGCATGTGCGAGTTTGTGTTAGCGTGTGCAAGCATGTGTGAGTTTGTGTGAACGTGTGTGGGAGCACGTGAGTGTGTGTGTGAGCATGTGTGTGAATGTGTGAGTTTGTGTGAGCATGTGTGAACGTGTTTGAGCATGTGTGAGCATATGTGTTTGTGAGCATGTGTGAGCGTGTGTGCGAGCATGTGTTTGAGCGTGTCTGTGCAAGCGTATGTTTGTGTGTGAGTGTGTGCGAGCATGTGTTTGTGTGTGTATGCAAACGTGTGTGTGTATGAGTGTGTGTGAACATGTGGTGCCACAGTGGGTTCTGGAACGCAGTCAGGAACTAGAGTGCTTTTGTTTAATCAGCATTTGCCAAACCAGTTGTGAGCGTTGTTCTGGTAACGTAGGGAGGAAGTGCATCCACGTGGCCTGGAGCACGTGTGTCCTGACACGTGATCTGCAGGTTGCTGCAGCTCTCTGGCTGGAGCAGGCGCGTAGAGCAGCTGCAGGAGGACCAGGCGCAAACCTGTCTCCTCGTGAGGAGAGTCACCGTGGTGACAGTTTAGCCCCGACCGCCATAGCAAGTGTCTTGCCTGCTGACAGCCTCGCTCAGGGGGAGCGCTGCAGCCTGTCGGCACCAGCCCCAGGGCCAGCGAGCTCTGGGGGGCCGCACTTGCGCCTTCCTGATCTCGGCCCTGGGACCACACGGGGCACACGTGCCTGCCCTCACCGGAGAAGGGAGCTGCTCGCCGGCGGCGGTTGTGGCATGGGTTGCCTGGCTGGCACTGCTGGTCCTACCTGGCGTCAGAAGCTGGGGAGTGGGGTGGGCGGTCCTGGGAGGTCCCAGACCTGCAGAAACCTCCCAAGACCTGAGCCCCTGCAGTGTGGGGCAGAGGTAGGGTGAGCCCCGTCCCAGCCAGGGCGCTGAAGCTGGGCACACCCTCACCCCGATCGCAGCTCTGGGCTAACACAGGTGTTTAGAGATCATGGCGGGGGGGGCTTGGGCGTTCGTCTTCTCCACTCGTCTCCCGTTTTTTGTGGGGAGGGACGGTAGGTTCAGGGGTCTGATGAACCAGGCCTGGGCCCGCTGGTGCTCACTAGTGCCATGTCTGGCTTTTAGAGCAGCTTGCACCATTGTCCTCAGGTGTGCTGCCCTCTCTGTGGTGACTGTTCCGAGTTCCCGCTGACCTCTGTGGTGTCCTGCCTGTCACAGTGCTGTCACCACAGGAGGGCACAGCCTCAGGGAATGGGAAGCAGAAACAAGACCCTGTGGCTGGGGCTGCTCCTGACCTGGCTTGCCATTGGGGCGGTGTGAGGGCCACTGATGGCGCCTCTCCTGGGCGGCTCAGGGCCACATCCAGGCGTCACACCTACCCAGGATCAGACCTGACCCTGGGGTGGTGTGGGCCTCTCCTGTCTTGGATCGAGGGTGTCTGGGCTGGGCCATGGGTCACTGCAGCAGCTTCCTCTGGCCCCAGGGCTGTGGTCGTTCCCTGAGGGGAGGGGTGTGTGTGTGTTCTTGGGCGAGCGGGCAGCACTGGCGAGAGCCCTGGCCCACGTCTGGACTCAGCTGGGTGCTGCCGAACCCCAATGTGTGACTGACATCCTCATGGGCCCCGGGCAGGTGACAGGACTGGCACCAGCCACAGGCCGGGACAGGCAGTGCGGGGACCACTGAGGCCAGGGCTGGAGGAAGTGGCAGGAGGGGTCCTGCGTTTCTGGAGAAGAGTTGGGTCACTGCCTGCGCCAGGAGGAGCCCTAGCGGGAAGTCTGAGGAAGGTCCTTTCCAGGATAACGTCCTTTTCAGGATAGAGCTCTGTGTCACGGCCCCCAACCCCCGTGTGTGTTCTGTGCTGTTCGCCTTTGCCACTTTTCATCCCAAAAGATGACACAGCTTTAATGTGGATGTTACGTTTTTTTTCAAGGAATAGTTATCTATGTTCCCTTTGTAAAGGAAAGGTGGTATTGTAAATCTTTTTATTAAAGAATGTAAAGATGTATATCTGTATTTTTGGATCATGTAATAGATTATGGATATATTGTTTAATAAAGTATTTTTTTGAACAAACATCGAAGTGCTTTGTTTGGGGAAGAGGCATCAGGCGCCTTCCCAGCGGGGTCTGTGCCCGTGGGCGCCACGTCCTTACTGTGGTCGCCTGTTTCCTGCCGCCGCCCGAACGGTGACGGCAGGGTGGGGCGGCCCTGGCCCCGCAGGCGCAGCCCCAGTGCGGGAGCATCGCCAGCCCGCGGTCGGTGGGGCGGGCACGTGTAGTCTAGCCTCGGTTCGCCGCGCGTCCCCTGGGGCTCTGACCCCGCGGCAAGACGAGGGCGCTCCCTGGCGGGGAGCCCGTGCGCAGGCGCGGCCACACTCCGCCTAGTCCTGCTCGGCGGCGACGCAGCGTGGTGCGTGCGCGTGCGTCGCCGCAGCACGGGTGCGCGGCGTGGGTGCGTGCGTGTGCCTGCTCCGTCCCGGGGACGAGCTTGGTGCTCGCTGGCCGCCCGTCGCCGACCTCGTTTCTCCGCCGCCTGGCCGGAGCCGGCTGGGCGGGACCCCCGGCGCCGCCACTTTTCAGCTGGTGTCCCGCGAACGCGGCACCTCCCGGGTTGGTGCACAGTCGGGCGCCCTCCGGTGCATTGGCGCCTCGCAGCCGGGTCTCGGTCTGAAGGACGAGCACGTCAGAGGGTTCTGGTTCTGGTTCTGCGAGGTCGGAGAGTGCCGCCAGACTCTCCCCTCGGTACAGCTGAGTGTCCTCAGAGCTCAGAGGTGGCTGCGGGGACTAGCCCTGCAGAGCGTCCCGCCCCTCCCGCCCACTTCTCCGCTGGGGCTCCTGGGCTGCATGTTGGGTCACTGTCTCAGGACAGGAGCGATGGTGCCCAGGTGGCCAGTGTGGCTGTCCCGCTCCTCTCTGGGCAGGCGGGTGGCAGCCTGCTGGCTGAGAGGCTTGGGCCAGTGGCGGAGGTGGCCGGGCGGCCCCAGCCTGGCCAGCAGGGGCTGCTCCTCCACACCCTCCCGGGACCCGGAGGTGCAGCTGACCTGCAAGCGCTACCCCGGGCGGCGGGGGGGC